ATCTGCAATTTCTTTGTGAGGCTATAGTATAACCTTGATATCAAAATCAGACAGGGACAGCGTAAGAGAAAAATTATAGGCCCGTTTTACCTATGAACCTAGATGTAAAAATCCAAAATAAAATATTAGAAAACCTAACCCAGCTATTTATAAAAATGATAGTGCATCCTGACAAAGTTCGGTTTATCTCAGGAGTGAGAAATGATTTAGTACTAGAGATGTATGCATATAATTGACCACAGTAAGAGATCAAAGAGGAAAATTTACCCAATGGCTGAGGAAAAAGCATTTGATAGAATACAATACCCATTGGTTAAAGACTCTTAGCCAATTGTGAGAAAAATGAACTTTCTGAACCTGATAAAGTTTATCTACAAAAACCCTATAGCAAACATCATTCTAAAGGCAGAACCTTAGGAACATTACCCTTAAAAATCAATAAGAAGGGCTTCCCTGGTGGCGCACTGGTTGAGAGTCCACCTGCCGATGCAGGGGACACGGGTTCGTGCCCCGGTCCGGGAAGATCCCACGTGCCGCGGAGCAGCTGGGCCTGTGAGCCATGGCCGCTGAGCCTGCGCGTCCGGAGCCTGTGCTCCGTAACGGGAGAGGCCACAACAGTGAGAGGCCCGCGTACCGCAAAAAAAAAAAAAAAAAAATCAGTAAGAAGTATCCCTTAAAACAAGGATGCCTATTGTCACCACTTCTATTCAACATCCAACTGAAAGTCCTGGCTGGCCCACTAATACAGGAAAAATGAAAAGTATATGAATTGGAAAGAAAAAAGATGCTATTATTCGCAGATAATATGATTATGTATACCAGAGGTCAGCAAACTGTCTTAGGAGCCAAATCCAGCCATTGCCGGGTTTTATAAAGTTTTGTTCGCTTACATATTGTCTATGGCTGCTTTTGAACTACAAGAGCAGCAGAGTAGCCACATCAGAGACCATATAGCCTGCAAAGCTAAAATATTTACTGTCTGGTCTTTTACAGAAAATGTTTTTGCTAACCCCATGGTCTATAAAATAATTCAAGAGAACCTACAGACTCTATTAGAACTAATAAGGATGGGTTCAGAAAGATTATGAGATACCTAACAATGTGAAAATATCAATTGCATTCTTATAAAAAGATACATTTTATAATAGCAACCAAAAGTATAAGATGCGTAGGAATAAATCTACCAAAAAGAACTTAATGTAAATCAGCTATACTTAAATGTTAAAAAATAACTTTATAAATTATAAAACATTGAAAGACATAAGAGAAGACCTCAATTAAGTGGAGGGATATACCATGTTTTTGGAAGACCCGAGATTGTAATAATGCCAGTTAACCTTACAGGACCACTGTATTAACAAATGCCAATTATGGATTTGGACTGATGGAAAGGCCAGACACAGACACAGTCTTCAGAAACTGAACAGAGTTTACTTGTTGAAGGAATTAGAAAGAGGGAGTTGGGAAACCCTGTGGAGAGTTCAATAATATTCCCCAGGACAGTTGGAGAAGTTTCTTGACTTATTCGTCACCGAAGGGGTGCATAGTTAGGGATCATAATGTCTGAATGAGTGAGAGTCATATCACACCTTTTGGAATTGTACCTGTCCCCCTCCATGCCTAGTATTATATACAAAAGATTGGAGCAGACTTGTACATGGGATAGTCTGGATAGGTACTACACTCCTAGGACAGGTTTTCAGGATATTTTAGTGTCCAAAACTCAGGAACCAAATAAACCAAGAAACTTTTTTTTTTTTTTTTTTTTTGAGTTAGGGCTATTTGGAGAAAGCATGATCCCTCACTGTCCCCATCTGTAGCTACTTGCTATCTGAAACTCAGACAAATACCATACTCTAGATTCAGCTAACAGTATTCGTTGCTATTATAATTCTTTCTCCAGATTCTGGCTATCCTCACTGAGGTCTGGAATAGATTTGAGATCACCGTAGGGTACAGTGCAGTAGAATACACTCAAGCCTCAGCACAGGCCTCCTTTATTTTCCTTGGCCTCCTCAGGCTAACCTCGCTGGGTCCCTATGCATTCCTGGGCTCGGTGGGAAGAGAGTAACAAAGGCTAGTTACCCAGGGGTTTTTGATAAGATCTTTAGACCTAGGCCTCATCTTGCAATCTCCAACTTAAACAGGATTTGCAATAAAACTTGGCTAATTCTGAAATTACTGTGAGATAAGTAAGGGCCAAGAACAACAATGGTAATTTTGATGAAGAACAAGGTAAGGAACTAATTCTCAGATATCAAGATTTATAGAGCAGTGGTAATCAAGATGTCATGTATTAGTAAGGGATAGGCAATTAGATCACTGGAACAGAATAGAGAGCCCAGGGACCTAGCCCTGTGTATCGGTTGGCATAGGCTAGGTTGTATTATAGCAATGAAACCCCACCAAAAAAAATCTTAGTGGCCAAACACATCAAAAGTTTATTTCTTGCCAATGCTACCTGTTCACTGTGAGTAGGCAGCAAATTACTCAGGGATCCAGGCACATGTCTCCATGATTACTCAGGTAGGAAATGAGAAGTATCACTTTTACTCACCTTTAAAGTCATATGGCCATGCCACTAAGTGCCTGTATAGAGAAAAACTAGAATATTTGCAGACAGCTGTGATGACTAGAACATTATGCATATATGAAAACTTGATATTTGTAGAAGAGAATCTACATAGAAAATTGTCCTGGGACAATCAATTAGCCATAGAGGAAAAATAAGGTGAAATTAGAAAATGAATTGTGGATTAAAGATCAAAGGGTAAAAATCAGAACTTTAATTTTTTTTTTTTTTTGGCCACACAGCACAGCATGCAGGATCTTAGTTCCCTGACCAGGGCAGGGATTGAACCCGTGCCTCCTGCAGTGGAAGCGTGGAGTCTTAACCACTGGACCTCCAGGGAAGTCCCCAGAACTTTAATGTTTTAGAAGCAATAAAGGGAAGGGAAGGGAACCATCTTTAGTATTCTTAAAAGAATTTCCTAATGCAAAAAACATAAATCCTAAATAAAAAGATTGATAAATATATACATTAAACGAATGATATTTTCTAAAAGGACATGACATAGGCTATGAGAAAATGTCTGCAATGCATATAACCAACAAAGGCTTCGTACTCACAATATAAAAGTGACCCCTACTAATCACTAAGAAAAGAGCAAACAGTCTGGGGAAATCAGAAGGCATTTATATGTTTGTGTGTGTGTATATTGCTCATGTATGATGCTCAACCTTACTAGTAATTGAGGAAATCCGAGTCAAAACCAAAGTAAGATACAATATCCCACACATTCAAATTGGCAAAAAAAAAATTTTTTTTAATCTGATGCCAACAAATTTGGCAAGGATGTAGAGTAAAGGAACTCTGTTGGTAGTACAGCAAGTCCCCTACATATGAACCTTCAAGTTGTGAACTTTCAAAGATGCAAACGTGCATTCCATCAGCGTCAGGTGTGAGTGAAGTTGCAGCTTGCCCCCCGTCTCCTATTGCTGACGATCCTTCAGCTCTACCATCTCCCACCTCCTCTCCCTCCTCCAGTCAGTAACTCTTCTTGCCTGTTCACTCGATGCCAGCCCCTGTATGTCAGCTGTTGTACTGTACTACTGTACTTTTCAAGGTACTGTACTGTAAGATTAAACATGTTTTCTTTATTTTTTGTTTGTTTTTTATGTATTATTTGTGTGAAAAGTATTATAAACCCATTACAGTACAGTACTATATAGCTAATTGTGTTACTTGGGTACCTAGGCTAACTTTGTTGGACTCACGAACAAATTGGACTTACAAACCCACTCTCGGAACGGAACTCGTTCATATGTAGGGGACTTACTATATAAACTGGCACACCCATTTGGAAGAGTAGTTTGGCTATATCTAGAAAGTAGAAGTTTTACTCCTAGGTACAAACTTAGAGAAACCCTTATACATAAGAACAAAAACATAGTATTTATTGCAACATTGTTTTAAATAGCAAAAAACTGGAAAAAGCCTTAACATGTCTATTGACTTAGGACAAGAGATAATTAAATGGAAGTATATTCACACAATGTACTATTATACACCAGAGAAAACTGATGAGCTAGAACTAAAAGTATCAACATGGTTAAATCTCAAAACCATGATATTGAGTGATATGAGCAAATTACAGATGGATACTAATACCATATTATTTATATAAAATTTAAATACATGCAGAATAATTCTAACTGTTGTGTATTGATACACATGTGTTATAATATCTATGATGATAAACACCAAGATCAGGATGGGGATTACCTCTGAGGAAGAATAGGATTAAGGAAGGTCTAAAAAAATGAATCTACAGCAAAGATGGCAAAATGTTAATGTTTAGCAAGAGGGTGATGAGTAAGGGTATTTGTTAAATTAGTCTCTGTACTATTTTGTATGCTTGAAATATTTAATAATAGAAAAACAATAAACTTAAATTTCAGCTAGGTTAAAAGACTTAGACCTAAAGTTATACAACATATGTGAAGAAACTCCATGATTCAAACCTAGTCATATGATTCCTGATAACCAGCTGTTTTTATTTTTCCTTTTTAAGTATTCTTTAATTAACATTGTCTTACTAATTGCCTTATAAGGCTTCGATGTAGGGGTGAGATCTCTGAAAGAGGGATTCTGTCTTAATGCTTTAACATTCATTAGCTTGTGTAGGTGCTCAGGAAGCAATCCTGATTGCTAGATTGCTGTATACAATGTTATGCATGGGACTGTGATTTCTGGTCCATATGTCTGAATCTAAATAATAGTAAATGATGTAATGACAGAATTTTACAATGACAATCTCTAGTAAGTTTAGGTGTTACGTTGATCAGTCCACATCCTGAAAGGGTATAGCAAGAGGTCTTAATTTTTTCTGTCAACTGTCTAAGAAGACATTATATTTTCACAGCTGTCACAGAGTGTTCCATATCACTTTATGAACTAGTACATGGTACATTGATAGTTTTCTCTTTATTTATTGTAGGTATTATGACTGGAGCATTTTATTCAGTCTCAACATTATTAAATCAAATTATACTGACATACTATAAGGTAAGCTTCTGCCTATATTGTGTTGCATGCCTGGCCAAGAATTTTTCTTTAGCAATATAATCCCTGTTAGCATGATCATAAGGCTAAAGATTTATGACCTTGTTGCTGTAAAAGATTTATATTTGTTTTCACTGAGAATACATTTAGTCCAGTTTATAAAACAACATGGAAAGCAGAAGTCATTATTGCTTTGACAATACGTCAGTCTTTTTAAAAAATTTTTTAAAGAGATAGTGTGACTGGTTATATGAAAAAAGACAAAGAACAAACTTTAAAAGAAACCAACACAAATATAAAGACGTAAATATCAAGCTCTGATCTCTCTTTGCTTTTGAAAGGAGAATGCAGTTGTAGTATGTAAAAGCTATCAGCTTAACTTCCTTTTCAGACATCTGTGAATTACTTAAGAATTCTAACAAAAATTACTGTACTTTCTAACCATGGAAGATCAAGAAAAATTCCCTTTTTGATTTCTCCCATATATCAGGGTTTTTTTTTTTTCTGTTTTAATGTAGAATGTCCTTTAACATGTGCTTTTCCTTCCTCTACCCCATTCACCTTAACACATGTACTGAATTCTTCATGTTATATTGTATGCTTAATTTTATCTGCTATTTCCGTTGACTTTGAGAAGGTATTGGAATGTGAAGGATCTGTTTGAATTCAAAGTATCTGATCAACTTCTTTTGAAAAACATTTTAAGGGAGAAGAAGTGAATGCTGGAAGGATTGGGCTAACGCTAGTGTTAGCTGGAATGGTGGGCTCTATTCTTTGTGGTTTATGGCTGGATTATACCAAAACATACAAGTAAGTGAAAGTAGGCAAATGTATGGTGTACAACCTAAGGTATTTTGGTTTTGAAGGAACCTTTACTTTTTATTTTAAGAAATTTACAAACTGTTATTGTTACTAAAAGACTTGGATTCTAGACACTCTTAGGTTCCCTTAACTTTTGAATACAGTAGTCTCTGTATTATCTTATCGGTCTTGTTTATTTCAACTTTGAGAACTTGGATACCTTATGAACTCTCCTCCCCTCTTAATACTCACATATACCTCTTCAGAATGGATCATTTCTATTCTAAAAAGAGCCCTTTCTGAGAAACATTTGACTTCTGACAGAGACTTTATATTGCTCTTTTCTCATGTTATGAACTTAAAAACAAACAAATAAAAAGTTGTTCTTTCCTATCAAAAGGCTTTTTGGCAAAAATTGTTTGGCTAAAATGCCCCCAAACTGTAGTTCCACTTAACTCTAATACTGTAATACATAATATGAAGATGCTATATTAATTGTACATCTTTATGGAACCAGAAAAATGCTAATACAAAAGAAAAAGTGAGTAATACCAACTAGGAGACTGAGAAAGGGGTTTCAGAGGCAGCATCTTTTGCACTGGGCCTTAAAAGAATAGCTATATTTCAAAAAAAAAAAAAAAGAAGAAGAAGAAGAAGAATAGCTACATTTCTTAACAGACAGAAACTTCCCATCTGTTTGGGAGAAATGAATGAATGGAACTATGAATGAATGAAGTAATGGAACTATGTCCTCTGCGCCTTTCAAGGCCTAAGATATATTTGATACCATTATCTAAACCCTTTCAACGTACTGCTGATCTTGAAATTCTCCAAGATAGTTCTTGTGTAATTTAAGACAGCACTTACTGTGGCTTCATTATTACGTAATGGTAGCTTAGAGTAAAACCCATTAAATTTGTAGATGAAGGGAGCATATATAAAGGATTTATATTTATTAATAGTCTTTGGTCCATTTTATAATTAGGAAACTGGATTGGCATAGAAATGTTCTTTGTTGCCCTGGCTTTCTTCTCAGGATAACTGCCATTCATTCACCAAGTTCCTGTTTTGTTTTTTTTTTGTTTTGGTTTTTTTTGCGGTACGCGGGCCTCTCACTGTTGTGGCCTCTCCCGCTGCGGAGCACAGGCCCCAGACGCGCAGACCCAGCGGCCACGGCCCACGGGCCCAGCTGCTCCGCGGCACGCGGGATCCTCCCGGACTGGGGCACAAACCCGCGTCCCCTGCATCGGCAGGCGGGCTCTCAACCACTGCGCCACCAGGGAAGCCCAATGGGAAGTAATATTTGATCCCTGTCCTTAGGATCAGGTGTTCCTGATAAGGTGTTCACATATGTAAAGTTAAATAATAATATAACAGACTAAAATAGATGTCAAGTGCCAATTATGTACATAGAAAATGATTAGGGAGTTTGGAAGAAAGGAGAATCTTGTAAGCTGCAGTGGTTAGGAAAAGCATTTTGGAAGAGGTGGAATTTGATCTGTATCTTGAAATACGGATAGGGAACTATCCCATTTGGTGGCACAAAAATGATTTTATCCTTATGAGTTTTCCTTCTTGTCTGAGCATTGGATATGATGTGAGTTTTGTTGTCTGTTGCTGTTGAAACTTAAATTTAATCTTTCAAGTCCATGCCTTGGTGGAAACATTTTCCATAGATAAGAAGGGGTTAATCTTGAAATCTGAAGAATTTATTACTGTATGGACAGAGCATAGCTAGACGTGATTTTTATATGCCTAAGAAAATCGGACAAAATACTAACAATTTTGTTGTTTTTGTTTTAGACATACTACTTTGACAGTTTACATTTTGTCTTTTGTTGGAATGGTTATATTTACTTTCACACTAAACCTTGGGCACATTATCATCGTGTTTGTCACTGGAGGGTTGCTTGGGTAAGCATCGCATGTATTTAGGAGGAATGATAGCATGCTGTTATAATTCTGAAGTATCACTACGGTGGTTTTTAACTTTTTTAAGTTCATCTAAAAGTTCTTTAATATTTTATTTTTTATTTTTAGTTGTTTAACGTCTTTATTGGAGTATAATTGCTCAAAAGTTCTTTAATATTTTAAACTTTAAAAATCTGTCTTGTGCATGTCAATGTGTAATTCTTTACAACTATAAAAATTAGCTTAAAATTATTTTTTTGCTATACTATAGGTGAAAAATGGATAAGCCTTACTTAATCCAAGTAACTTTACTTGGCTAGAAAGACAACTGACTTAGAAAACTAGGGGTAAATTTTTCTCAGGAAAAATAATTAGAAACTGTTTTGCTTCCTAGTTCATGGTTTTGCTTCTCAGTTCTCATGTCCTTGGGTTAATTGGTGAATCATAATAGTGCCTTCCTTTCACATACCAACCTCAAAACATTCACTTACTTGATAATTAGAATAGGTCTGAGAAGTTAAGCAATTGCATCAATATGTGATATTGTCCTTTTAATGATTCTTTCTGTGATTTTGGATTTATTTTCTTAGTTTCTTCATGACTGGTTACCTCCCCTTGGGTTTTGAATTTGCTGTTGAAATCACTTACCCTGAGTCTGAAGGTACTTCATCTGGTCTTCTTAATGCTGCTGCACAGGTAAACCTCTGATTTCTCTTAAATCTGAGACCATTAGTTTACCAGATAGTCTAGTGGATAATGAGTTTGACCATAGTTTTTGTTTTAAAAATTCCACCTTTCAATGCATGTTTCTAGAAGCCAAAGCATATGAATAAAATAGTTAAGAAAAGTTCTGGGGAAAACATTATATTTGTTTTAAAGAAGCAAACAATAAAAATATTTCTCTTACTTTATTTTAGATATTTGGAATTTTATTCACATTGGCGCAAGGAAAGCTCACGTCAGACTATAGTCCTAAGGGAGGGAACGTTTTCCTCTGTGTTTGGATGTTTGTAGGCATCATTTTAACAGGTAAATTAGGGAATTTGCCTGCCAAAGTACTCGTGTCATGTTGTCTTTATATTTAATTTTCATTTATATTGCTTCTCAAGGCTTGACAGAACTCAAGAAAAAAATGAGATAAAAAGCAGGATATTATTGTTTCCCTTCAAGGATATGAATCTATGAAGTCATTTTTCAGGTTTCAAATTCAATGCAATTACTATGCATAGAAAACAAAACCATTGTAACAAGTGTCAGTAAAGGCCTGGAATGGACAGACCTGGCCTCAAGTTGTGATTCTGCTGCTCACTAGCTGTGTGACTTTGAAAAGTTACTCAACCTCTCACATCCTCCCTTTCTCATTTATATAATAGGGTATTAAAAGCCTGCTTTATGATGGTTATACAATTTTTTGAATATAACTTTAAAAACACTGAATTGTATACATTAAAGGGGTAAATGTTATGATATGTGAATTGTATCTCAAAAAAATGTATATAGATGTAATATAAATATGGTAAAAATAGCAAAAAGAAAGGGGGAAATGCAACTATACTATTGCAAGATTTCTACATCTTTCTTGAAGTAATTCTGTATAAAGTCTAAGAAGATTGTGATAAATTAAAGATGCACAGTGTACTCCCTAGAGCAACGAATAAAAAATAATAACAAAAAAAGGCTGCCTTAGGGGGTTGCTGTGAGGATTAACTGAGATGGTTGATGAAGAGCTCCTAGTATAGTGTCTGGCACCTAGGACATGCCTGATCATGTATCACATAGGCTGCTTTTTTTTTTTTTTTTGCTGTACGAGGGCCTCTCACTGCTGTGGCCTCTCCCACTGAGGGGTACAGGCTCCGCGCAGGCTCAGCGGCCACGCCTCACGGGCATAGCCGCTCCACGGCATGTGGGATCCTCCCAGACAGGGGCACGAACTCGTGTCCCCTGCGTCGGCAGGCGGACTCTCAACCACAGCGCCACCAGGGAAGCCCTGCTTTTTTTTTTCTTAAGATTTTTTTTTTTTTTTTTTTGGCTGCGTCGGGTCTTAGTTGTGCGGCATGTGGGATCCTCCGCTGTGGCGTGCAGGCTCTTTGTTGCAGCACACTGGCTTCTCTCTAGTTGTGGCCCATGGCTTGTGTGCTCAGTAGTTGCGGCACATGGACCTAGTTGCCCTGTGGCATGTGGGATCTTAGTTCCCTGACCAGGGATCAAACTCATGTTCCCTGCATTGGAAGGCAGATTCTCAACCACTGGACTTCCAGGGAAGTCCCCTTAAGATTTTTTTGATGTAGAGCATTTTTAAAGTCTTTATTGAATTTTTGCTTCTGTTTTATGTTTTGTTTTTTTGGCTGCAAGGCATGTGGGATCTTAGCTTCCCAACCAGGGATCGAACCCACACCCCTTGCATTGGAAGGCGAAGCCTTAACCACTGGACCGCCAGGGAAGTCCCAGGCTGTTATTATAATGTGGTAACCATGGGACGAAGTCAAATGGTGGTGGTGGAAATAGCGTGTGGAATTATTTGCCAGTTCTTCTTAGGTTTAGTCAGAATAGACATGGGCAGGAAAGAGAATAGCGCCCAATCTCCAGAAGAAGAGCATGTAAAAGAACTTTTATCCATAGTTTGTCCAGGCACACGGGTGTAAGGATGAATTTCGAAGCAAGATTTATAGGGAATTCCCTAGCAGTCCAGTGGTTAGGACTCTGAGCTTTCACTGCGGGGGCCCAGGTTTGATCTCTGGTTAGGGAGCACAGATCCCACAAGCTGTGGGGCGTGGCCAAAAAAAAAAAAGCAAGATTTATATCCAGTAGTGCTTCCAGGCCCATGTTGGCCTCAATTGTTATTTCACTTTGTTAATTTCTTTCAGAGTCCCCTTGTCAACATGAGAGACAGAGCCATGGAGACTTGAAGAGGGATTATTTTTTTGATCTGGTATAACTTGATTCAAGGATAGAATCTAACAGAAAGATATGAATCAAGGCTTCTTTTTATATTCGTTGAATACCTGATCATTCTTTTTGAAACCCCCTATATGATAAGTGCTTACCAGTGATAAGCACTTATTTTGGAAATACACAACCACCTAAGGTCACTATCTTTCATTCATTACACTCAAAGGGACTAAATGTACCATTTCCTCAAAGAAAAACATCCTACCACAGAAGTGTTTTCTTCTTATTCTCTTCAGTTAGTAAAACAAAGCGTACAAAACTGAATGTTTTGTAACTGAATGTATGTAATTTAATACATTAACTGTCTTAACTACTGATCTGTCATAAATAATTCCATATTTGTTCTTAATTTCCAGGGAAGTAACACCTAGCTATCAAATAGAGTGTTTCTGTTGCACCAAAAAAGGGAACAGTTTTGTGTTCTCTTTTCACATTATCTTATAGTAAGATTCATAAATGTTAATTCAAACAGGTGAAGTACAGAAAATTAATTAAGAAGTGAAAAAAATATCTTTAAAATTAGTTTTACATTGATACTTTTGCCACCTAAAAATGCTAATTAATGTCTCTCATATGTTGAATGTTTTACTGGAGAGAGATGATGGATTTATATCCAGTAGTTATTTGTTTAGACAGAGGAAAGAAGGCTGGGAAATTCCTGAGGTGTGGTGAAGGTGGTACCTTTTCTTTTTACATTTTTTTGAGAATTGTTGGCATGTCTTGTTTTGACAGGGGAATTACCATTTAAATGCAGTGCATTCTGCTTTCCCAGTATTGACAGCTCTCTGTAAAGTCTATTATATAGGCTCCTTAGCCCATTTATGTCCATTGAAAAAAGTGTTTCTAAACACTTCACAGTGTTTCTAAATTCTATGATTAATATTAATGGTAAAGAAATCCACAGTTTCCCCCTATAAAAAATGAGTAGCCTCTTTGATTTGGTGGATTGTACAACAGTGTCGAGCGGATCAGCCGATATTGATCATTGCTGCAATTTAAAGCATGACGTTTTAATATCAAGCTGCTTGTAAATATGAGCTTGTTATACAACATCACTTTAAAATCATTTAAATGCATTCAGAAAGGCCATTTTACATATATCCAATTAGTTCAGCGTAAATATCTGAATTTCTAAAATATTGGTATCAGTAATGGAACAGAATTCTAAGGGGCCGTGTGGATTTCTAAAGAAGCATTAGTCTAATTTTTAAGACTGATTTTACTTTCACCTTTCAGACTTTGCTTTATGACTGATTAGATTAGTTAACTACCCACAAACTTTTATCTTTTCTTGTTTTACACTCTCTTTGTGCAGTCTGTGGCCTTAACTACCACATTAATCTGTACCTCCAGACCCTGATCGCTTTTACATTTCAGACCAATATGTCTAATCATCTATTTATCTCTGGACCTGGATGTCCCATGGGATTTTATACTCAACCTATGCAGAACTGAACTCACCACCTTCCCAATCACACCAATTTGTCTTGTATTTTCAGTTTCAATAACTAGGACCTCCATCCATTCAATTGCCCAAGCAAGTCACCCACTTCCCCCTCCCTATTCCCCATTTTTCATATCCTATCAAACCACTGAGTCTTTTTTAAAAAATATTATTTATTTATTTATTTTTTGGCTGCGTTGGATCTTATTTGAGGCACACGGGGCTTTTGCTGAGGCGTGCGGGCTCTTCGTTGCGGCGCTGGGCTTCTCTCTAGTTGTGGCGTGCAGGTTTTCTCTTCTCTAGTTGTGGCGCACAGGCTCCAGAGCATGTGGGTTCTGTAGTTTGCGGCACGCGGGCTCTCTCATTGAGACGCACGAGCTTAGTAGTTCTGGCATGCGGGCTTAGTTGCCCCGCGGCATGTGGGATCTTAGTTCCCCGACCAGGGATCGAACCAACGTCCCCTGCATTGGAAGGCGGATTCTTTACCACTGGACCACCAGGGAAGTCCTCCAAACCACTGAGTCTTATTGGTTCGATTCTAAAATATCTCTGAAACCTGTCCCTATATCACCGTTTCTCACACATGCAGGCTTTCCCACCTCTCGGCAGGATGAAAGCCTCTTGACTGGCCTTTCTGCCTCTAGCCTTGTTGCTGATGACATCCCCCGCACAGCTGCCAGACTGAGTTCCCTAACGCACAGACCTGATCATGTCCTCCCCTACTCAGACGCAATGTCATCCTGCCAACCCAGCCTCCCATCTTGCCACCTGCCTCTTGTACTTGATGTTCCAATGATCCCAAACTACCTCTAGTGCCAAGAATAGGCTGTACTCTTCCTGTCCTGGTCTCTTGGCATGTACTGGTTTCCGCCTGCCTAGAATGCCTTCCCCTCTCCTCTTATCTGCTTGACAAGTTCCAACTCATTTTTCAAGTTTCAGTTCAAACATATCTCCTCTGGTAAGCCTTTCCTGATTTCCTTCTGACATAGGTATTTTTTTCCCCACACTTCCGCTACACTGTGCGTGCCTGCATTATTGGAGTTGTTATACAGTGTTATAATTGTTTGCACGTCAGGGTTTCCCTAGACTGGAGTGTCCTTTAGGGAAAGAATGGTGCTTTTCATCTTTGTGTCTTGGTTCTTAGCATCCTGTATTTGTTCACTAATGAATGACTTGCTAATTAAGTTAATGGCTTAGAGAGATACTGTTATTTTTTCAGGCTACAAGAATGTTATGGAATATTATGGTACTGTAGAGTGCTAAATTTGACAGTATCAAAAAAGATTTTGTACTGCTTAGAAAAAAATATATTTATACATACTCTACGGTAACTCCATTGATGCTTCTCTGTTTGCAGCATTAATCAAGTCCGATCTGAAAAGACACAATATAAATAAAGGAATTACAAATGGCGATATTAAAGCTGTAAGTAGTGAATATTTTTATGATTATACTATTGAGAAATGTGTGCCTAGAGTGACTATAAACCCGTCTACCCCATCAGCTTTTTTTTTATTCCTGTGGATCTGTCATAATGGCATATGCCAGATACGTACTGTAAATTTTTTATCCTCTTATTCTTTCTACAGGTACCAGTTGATAGCCCCACAGATGAAGAATCAAAAACTATTCTGATGTCCAAGCAATCAGAATCAGCAATTTGAGGTGAAAGGAAAAGTTAATATCATGTGATAATTGAGTAATAAAGCTTAGTTTATAGGTTGTGGGAATGGACACTTACTTGAAAATTATTGTATGATTCCTGTATGCAGTTACTGTTCTTATTTATTAATTTAAGCAATATTTTGCTTAAAATACTTTTGTTTACATCATTTTAACACTACCATTTATCTAATGAGTGTCCCATCTTATATTATTGACCTAAAAGTAAGCTTCTTGACATTTGGTTTTTAAAAGTAGATGTTCTTTTCGTAGAAAATGGAAGCTTAGAAGGCTTTCTAAAATGATAATATGGAGGTCCAATCCCTTCAAGTCACATAGGAGTACATGCAATTTGTTTATACAAAACTATCCAGTGGAACCAAGTGTACAGTGTATTCCTAATTATCTCCCTTTCCATTGTTCAGACCAGCTGTCCAAGCCCCCTCAGTGTGAATACAGTCTACGAATATGACACTTCTAACCCACCAAATGACACTATTGGGATGAGACTTCCAGATGACCTCTTAAGATTTTTCCCATTTCTTACATTCTTGTTAGAAAATACTTTGTAACAGGTACTGTCAGTGACCATAAAAACTTTTCTGTGTGCAGACGGAACCCATAACTTTGGTCTTAGGCATATGTTCTCATTAAGCGAAGTAGCTCAGACACAGACTCATTACCTTGAGTTCTTCTTTGTGCTGCCTTCCCATTCATCGCAAGAATGCTAACACTATATTTTTTCACTCCAACTTGATATAGAGTAGTTTTGTATCCACTACCTTTTTTTACTCTTTTTTTCTTCAATATATAACTTTCTAGTAAGAAAATTTCATCCTATGTGTTACTGGCTTTTTCATGATTTTTTGTATCACACCTTATACTTTTGCCTTGAAGATTCCTGAGATAAGGAAATCTGTAATAACTTCAGGTAGCCTAGGTATTCCTATTTAGTGGAGACCTCTTGAAATGCTGTCTGTTCTAATTCAGCAAATCATTCTTTATGGAATCTTTATCATTCTTTGAGGAATCCTTTGCCCAGGTCTGTGCTCCCTCAGTGTGTTGGGGGAGTGGATTCTTTTCTTCACCACAGAATGTGCATAGGCTCCAAACTGTTGGAACATCTGCTCTTTTACATGCTCAGGGTAAGGAGAATAGGACCAAATGCATTTCCACAGTGCCTACCACTGCGTTTTGTTTACAGTGAGAATCTCAATGTTGTTCATGTCCTGGCTCTCTAAGCTGATAGGGAATATCTTTAGAGTAATGGCATTTAAACAGCCATAATATTTATATTATGTCCACAGAAACACAAAAAACCAATCAGGTATTCCCTTGAATATCCTTGAAGTGAATTAGCAATTCTGATTTGGGTGTACTATATGCATCGCTTTATACTGAAATTATAACATTCTCTGTAACCAAACGACAATAAATTATGTGGAATCTTACCCTGGAGAACGTGTTACTGGAAGAACTTAGCTGGGAATCAGGAACTTCAGGTCTATGTCCTGGATCTGTTTCTAGTTTCCCTGTAAATCAGCCAGCACTTTCCTCATCCGTATAATGAATGTGTAAAATTTGATCTCAGAGATCTTTTTTGAATTTTAAATGCACTCATCGGGGGATAGACCAAATCATTGTACCACAGGAACTTAAATCTAGCTGTAGAAAAATTCCCTGGACAGTTGAATAAACAACTGTGGTTGTTACCTTGTAGATACAGGAAACTTAAAATCTGTTTTTAGAACTCCCCTGGTGGCACAGTGTTTAAGAATCCGCCTGCCAAGGCAGGGGACACGGGTTCAAGCCCTGGTCCGGGAAGATCCCACATCCTGCGGAGCATCTAAGCCCATGCGCCACAAATACTGAGCCTGTGCTCTAGAGCCCGCGAGCTGCAACTACTGAGCCCGCGAGCCACAACTACTGAAACCCATGCACCTAGAGCCTGTGTCTGCAACAAGAGAAGCCACCACAATGAGAAGCCTGTGCACCACAACGAAGAGTAGCCCCTGCTCACCACAACTAGAGAAAGCCCTCACACAGCAACGAAGACCTAACACAGCCAAAAATAAATTAATTTTAAAAATATGCATGACAAAATTTTTAAAAAATAAAATCAAATCTGTTTTTAGCCTTTTTGTTCAGCTGGTGATAGCTCAGGCAGAATATGCTGAATCATTAACTTCCTTAGATATTTACGTCACAGATTTTATGGCCAAAAATATATTTTAAGGTACCTCCTCTAAATAATTGTTTTTACTTGTAAACAGTCAATGTTATTTCAAATAATCATATACTTGTCAAGTTCCTGAGGTTTGAACAAATTACAGATAAAAGTTGGAATATTTTATTTCTAAAAAGCGTATATACATATATGTCATATGTATTTTTCCTTGTTGATTAGAAAAAGAATGAAATATGTTGTGACAAAACACAAAATGAATTGATAATTTTTCTGTATTTTGAATTAAATTTGTCTGTAATACATCAAACAAGAATGTCATGTAATTCTATGTCGTATCTTTGGAATATGGAGTTGGTAACTATCACTTGTGTAAATTTTAATCAAGTGATTTTAGAAAGAAACTGGATGCTTTCAAAAGCTCTTGTATTTATAAATGTTGCAAATATAGCTTTTGCCTTTTGTGAATGTTGGAGAAATGTCTTTAAAAATGTGTTTTAAAAATATGTGTAAACATAGAGTATTGCCAGAAGAATGCCTGTTTGTCTTAAGTCATTTTTCATGTTCTGATTTTTGCTTTTTGTACTATTTAGCTGTATGCTTGTTCTTCAGTTATTTCAGACTTGAGATAAATTTATTTTTTTAAGGTTAATTTTGTGTGGCTTTTTTCTTTTTAAGTTATGATGTTTTAGTACACATGGGGAATGGAAAGGGATTATAACATTTCAGAATGGGCCAAGGGAGAGAGGTGGTTTGTGGAACACAGTAAGTCCCCTACATATGAACGAGTTCTGTTCCCAGAGCTCATCCCTAAGTCCAATTTGTTTGTAAGTCCAACAAAGTTATTTTCACTTTTGTTTCCATTGTTATTGCTTGGCGCTTCTTAGCAGTAGTACCAGCTACATCCCTGCTGCTTTCACGCTTGCTTCCAGACATCCTAGGCTTGAAATAAATATGCTATACTACTGTACTCTATATAGTACTGTACAGTAAGGTACACAAAAGCACGTGATTGGACATGCAAATGCACGTTCGCATCTTTGAAAGTTCGCAACTTGAAGGTTTGTATGTAGGGGACTTAACTGTACAAGGTAACAAAGCCCACCAGGGTCAGGGTCCAGATCAGGTTCAGGGCTGAACCAGCAAAGTAGCCAGGGCTCAATCTCTTCCCCTTACTTTGGTGCCTGCCTCTCATTGGCCAGATGGGTGGCCCGCCATGAGCCATCATGGACACTACATCTAAGCTCCAGACAGTTCTCTGCCTTTTTCTCCTGGTAGCACGTGCCTGTGTGGGACCGTATATCCTAGAGTATGTGTCACTGTTCCCCAAGGCCTTGCTGATGAATGTAATAATACCAATCTACAAGTTTATTCATTGAAAATAGGGTAGGATAAATGTTCATTCTTCATAGGATTAAGTGAGATAATACATGAAAAGTGTTTAGAATTAAGCTTGACATAGTCAACACTCAAAAGTTGGGTATTGGGACCTCCCTGGCAGTCTAGTGGCTAAGACTCCACACTTCCAATGCAGGGGGTGCAGTTTCGATCCCTGGTCGGGGAGTAAGATCCCACATGCCATGCAGTGCAGCCAAAAGATTTTTCTTTTTTAAAAAGGGGCATTATTCTAATACATTAATGACTGGTAACTAGCAACGACTACCACTTACATGTATTTAAATTTGAAGAGAGACGTTCAAGTGACATATCAAAAGAATACCAATGAGGAAAATCTGAAGTCCTGTGGAGGGTCAACAGAGAAGATATTTGGGGAGAAGGGAAGTGGTGGCCTGCACCATTCAAATCAAACCGGGCAGGGGTCTGCCCACTCCAAATCCTCCCGAAGCTAGTCTTGTGTACTAATAAATGGGTTAGTGTCTATTAAGGAAACTGTAATAGAGACTGGAGGCCAGATGAAAGATTGGTCTAGGGCAGTGACTCCCAAAGGTTTTGATCTCAAAATTCTTTTACACTTAAAAATCAATATGTATCATATTAGAAACTAAAACAAAACTACTTTATTCATTTAAAAATAACTTCATTATATCTTAACATAAGTTACATCTTTATGAAAATAACTATTTCCCAAAATAAAGGTGGTGAGAAGAGTGACTCTTTTAAATGTTTAAAGAATGCAAAACTCTTTAATGCCTGGCTTTATAGAAGACAGCTGGATTCTTAGATCCTGGGTTCAATCTGTAAAGATAAGCTATTTTGACATGTTTGAAGGAAAGCTTTGCAGGTATCTGGAGCTGGAAAGGGAAACGTACTAGTCTTTTCAGGTAATTGTGGATATTCTTTAATACTATACCAAAATTCGAACTGGTAGTGTCTTAAAAGTTAGTTGCTATGTGGAATCTGAAACTTTGTTATATTAAAATCTAATGGTCTGTCTTCTTGTTTAAATAGATCTGTAACCATGCATGATTTTGTAATATTATGCATTGACATTTGGAAAATAGGATTTCACTGAATTATGCAGCTCTTCCAAATACTGATATATTTCATTATATGGTGCCAGACATATCACCTCTGATCTCATCAGAAAGTCTTTCAAGTATTGGGAAGCAGTCAAGCTCATACAAGTCTTCTGAATCTTGTTTTGGCAGAGGCAGGATTTCCAAAACACTAATTTTAGTTTGAAAACTTGATTCTTATCATTGGCAAAAAAAATTGTCAGTTGCTTCTTGAAGTGACTCGCTTCATTGTCTCTTGAGAAAATATCTACTAAATGCCCATCTAGGTAACCGTAATTTATGTCAGTCGTTCTTTCAAGTGAAAATGATTTTCTGTGAAAATAAGGCTCTAGTTCAGCTTGCAACTCAAATAATTGTACAAGTGCTTTTCTGCGAAACAACCCTCATACTCTGGTGTGTGGCAGGGTGTGTTATGCATACTTTCCATGTCATCACAAAATATTAAAAAGTCATATACCCAAGGATCGGGATTCAATAGCTCTTACTCCTTCACTGAGGATATTCTTAGGTGAAACTGACTTTTTTTAAACTGCAAATGCGTGGTGGTGAAGGATCCAATGACCACCAGTAGTATAGTTTGGTGCCACAGCCCTAGGGCTAAGATGCCAGCAGCTTTACCAGTTACCGCTTTTTGCAAATGTCACCCAGTAAAAAATGCAAGTAACTTCTTTGTATTATTATTATTACAAGAATTTTGACATGGATTCCCTGTAAAGGGTCTTGGGGACTCCCAAGGTTCTGCCAACCGCACTTTGAGAACCACTGTTCTAGAAAAGAGATTGGTTTTCAATCAATGATTGACAGTGTGAGAAAAAAGGAAGAATGGAGAGTAAGAGGGGGTCAAGGATCAAAGGTGTCTAATAAGGGGACAGAAGAAAGAATCATTGGAGACAGAAGAGTCTGTGAGAAAGGAAGGCAGAACTGGGTAGTTTTATTAGTTACCCTATAATAAACAGAGACTTCAAAATCTAAGCCCTTTCTTAGATCCTATTGAAAAGCGGTAAAATTACATTTAGATTTTCAGTGGAAAAAAAGACTTCCTTTCAGAAAAGAAGTACCATTCTCATTTTCCACAGCAGGCAAAGATATATAGGTAAGTAGCACATTTCTTTTTTAATATATTTTAAAATTTTAACCATGTGCATTTTATTGCATGTATTTATACCTTATTAAAGCTTAAAAATATTATCCAAAATAAAAATCTGGATTTCTTACTGTTTTTGTAAAATCCCCTATATTGACTTCACCACTTTGTGCCACACCCCCTGGGAGGGTCACCTTGCCTCAGTGGTCAAAAATATAAATAAGCAGGGCTTCCCTGGTGGCGCAGTGGTTAAGAGTCCGCCTGCCGAGGCAGGGGACACGGATTCGTGCCCCTGTCCGGGAAGATCCCACGTGCCGCGGAGTGGCTGGGCCCGTGAGCCATGGCCGCTGAGCCTGCGCGTCCGGAGCCTGTGCTCCGCAGCGGGAGAGGCCACAACAGTGAGAGGCCCGCGTACCACAAAACAAAAAACAAAAAACATATATATATATATATATATATATAAATAAGCAACCAAGACTGTTCCCACCTGATTCAACAGGAATATTGTCTGGGTCACAAAGTCCATTACTCGATGAAAAGATATCCCTTCTCTCTATTCTCATTTTTCTGTCTGCACAGAAATGGCCTTGAGGAGGATAGCCCACAGAGGCTACAGAAATCCACAAAACCTTCAGATTATTTTCTCTTGTAATGTCCTCTGCTATACAAGCTTCACAATTCAGGAGATCTGAGAATTTCTGTACATGCTCATCCTTCACAGCCACAATGACTGGAACATTGTCATTGTGGATGCCCTTTTAAACGAGGCACATTCCAGCCAGCTTGTAATAGTGTCCTCCTCCCACTATTAATCCAATGTTTTCTGGAACAATTATCATTCCCCCTATAATCTTACAACCAGTGATGCTATGCTACAGAATTCTGCACATAAGGGCACATGGCTCTACTGAAGGACCTGGGAGAATATTTTCCTCACTAATGCTGAGCTCAAGGCAATATCCCCTGTGAACAAGACAACAATTTCACGTTACTCTCAGAAGCAACGAAGGTTGTCACAACAATTGCTCCTTCCCCAGGCTGACCTCTGAACCAAGAAAATATGGCACTCGGGCCACAAATT